GAAGTCTTTGAAGCACTACAATCCATGAAAGCGAACAAAACCCCAGGAATAGACAGGTTGTCAAAGAGTTTTGGGCAGCTCATTGGTCAGTCCTAGGCAACAAATACTTCCAATATCTAGAAAAGGCTTGGGCAAGAGGGACATTAGGTGGAAAGCAAAGCACCGGCGTAATCTCGCTCTTATACAAGAAGGGAGACCCGTCAGGCATCAGGAATTACAAGCCTATCTTGCTCCTTAGTCACATACAAAATTATGGAAAAACTTCTAGCAAATAGAATCAAATCCATAACAAGGAATTGTTTTCATCTAGACCAAACGGGATTCATACCAGGAAGATTCATCCTATATAACGTAACAAATCTCTCAAAATTCGTAAGATACATACAGGATAAAAGAATGAATGTGGCAATCCTCATTTTTTTACTTCGAAAAAACTTATGAACAGGTTAACTGGAATTTCCTCCAACAAAGCATGGAAAAATAGGGGTAGGGGTCCGTAGGACCAAATTTTAGAAGATGGGTTCAAATTCTCTACTGTGACGCTCTAGGGAGAGTACAAGTTAACGGGCATATCTCTCAACCCTATCGCATGACTAGCTCTGTAAGACAAGGAGACCCCCTCGCCGCCCCTATTTTCCTGTTCATCATGGAAGCTATTGCATCCTTCCTGAGAAAGGACCCGTCGATAGAAAGGTTGATAGAGGATAGAACACACGCCCTTAACCTGCCCACCACAATCCTTTTCGCAGACGACCGAACGGTACTTATACGGGCCTCAGGCTCCTCCTTTGAAACACTCACAAGAGCGATGCAAGCATTCCAACTAACATTGGAAATGAAAATTAATTGGGCCAAAACAATAGGTTGGTGGCTAACGGACCTACAGTTGAACCCACCACAATTTACCCCGGAAGGAATGATCTGGAACCGGGGTAACGAACCCCTCAAATTCCTGGGCATCCAGATGTCTAAATACGGCCCCAGTCAAGCAATGGCACCTGTAATAAGATGCTGACAAAAATGGGGATCTGGACGAACGTGTACACGTCTATCTTCGGTAGAGCCATGCTCCTTAACGCCTCAATCTTCTCAATGCTCTGGTATGCAGCAACGATCTGGAGCCCCCCCAAACAACTTAGATACCAGCTCAGGAGAAGAGCAGCGGCCTACCTCCGGTAAGGAAACCCTTCCAAGGAACAATTCATATCGAAGGTGGCCTGGAAGTATGTCGTCAACCAAAAATCTAAGGGAGGCTTAGGGATCCTTGATCCTGAAACACAGATTAAGGCCCTACAATCCAAATGGATCCTTAACCTGATCATGTACGATAACTTACCATGGACTCACCTGGCCTTACGAAGGATACAAAAACTAGCCAAATTCAAAACACCAGACAACATGAAAGGTTTTTTTTGGATCATGGCTAAATCATGGGCAATGAGGGACACAATCAGGACAACAGAACTGGAAGAAGAGGAAGCAGACAATAATGAATTTTGGTGAGACCTACTGAAAACATGGAGAGAGATATTACCAGCGAAAGTAAGGGAACCCACAGCCAAGGAAGAAGTGCTCAGACAACCACTCTTCTGCAACCAGTGGATTTTGGACACACAAGGGAAACCTTGGACCCTAACAGCCAAAGGCTCAAGATGGGGATCGTGGGTAGAAAAAGGGGTATGGCAGATCTAGCACCTATGGTACAACGAGGAATCGAGATGGAAAACAACAAGAGAACTAAGGGAACAGCTAAAAGGTTGCCACAACCAGCAAGAGAATCTCAACCACATTCTAATTTCAATTCCTGAAAGCTGGTTTAGACTTCTCAGAAGCCGATGCTTGTGGAAGCCAGGAGACTGGGCTACGGAGAAGGCCGAGCGCCCACCGAAGACAGCCTATCAGTTCCAAACCAGGGAAGGCACAGGAAATGAGTGGCTCATCTGCGATATTTACACAATTGAGGACCCAGGTGCATCAACAAGCCTACTAAGCAAAAACTCCACAGGGGAAGTGGCCTGGCATGAACGAACATTAAGGAAGGTGAGGGTAATAGAAACGCAGGACCGCCGAATCTACAACTCACAAACCAATATCGAGGACTTGGAGATTGACCCGGTGGAATGGGCGTGGAAAAGGAAATCAGGGAGGCTCAACATAGAAAAGCGCACCAACATCCTGGAAAACACAACCAAACTAGGCTACACATTAAGGACAATGTCGCATCCCATAACCCAAATCGTAGGCCAAAGATGGGAGACACATTTTGATCTCACCCAAAATCGTATCCCGAACATCCCCTGGACTGGGTTTCTAAACATCAACCAAGTGAAAATAAGAAGTTTCCAGTGGCTACTCGCCCACCTGGCTCTCCCAGTTAACCAATGGTTAAACAAGGGAAGAAACATTCAAGCCAGGACCCCCTTACAAGAGCTATGTGCAATCTGCCTGGAAGGTCGCGTGGAAGACATGGGGCATTGCCTAGTACACTGCCCAAAAGCACAGCAACTCTGGTCCATAACAAATGATCTCTGGCATATGATCACAAACAAAACCCTCCCCACTGACCCTACTCTTCTATTGGGCCTGCACATCCCATCCAATTGGCAGGGGCACGAGACCATTTTCTTTCACATTCTACGTCTGACAACGTTATGGATGATATGGAAAAGAAGATGTCAAGAGACAATAGACCGTACGTCAATTCAGGTGCAGGAAACATGGGAAGGAGTCCTAAATATATTAGAGATTGAATACAGAGGGCACTGGAAGAGAGTGTGTAGGAACATAGAGAAGAATATAGTGGATAGAGACAAAACTATTGAGGTTTTTAACAAAAAGCAGCTAGGGGAAGGGAGAATAGCAACAATCTCCCATAACAGATTACAGTTCGGACAATGGAGACACAATAGATTAACCATACCGCAATCCTCAGACCCGCCTCAAAGTAGATCCCATTTCACAGGAATTTCCATTGGCTCCATTTAAACAAACCAAACAACAGCAGATAGCCCTAAAACAGTGTCAGCTTATCAACCCAGAACAGGAGCACCCAACTACCTAATTTCACTTTAACAGACTAGGCCTTAGCCCCTCAAAATCCCCAAAGGTCCCCAAAGGTCCCCAAACCTTAGGATCCCCAACGAACCAACCTTAGCACCAAGCGCAGATCAATCTTGAAATAGACCATACCTCATAGGAAACCTAGCACCTCAAAAGGAAGATTCACTAAAGCACCACCATAACCCCCTCAGGAATCCAAAATCCCTACGTCAACAGATACAGACACGGCTTACAAGAATAAGTAGATGAGCGAGGGCCAGGGTTATAACAAGGACTGCAGCAAGTGTAATCCTCACAGAACTTAGTGCAAACAAAATTTAACACAAGCAGCCTTATCAGCAGTACTAACACAAGAAGAAAAACAGGCAGCCGAGGAGCTGAGAGGTACGAACCGGAAGGAACACAAAGAATCAAGCCCCAAACACTAGAGCGGACATAATTCCTGATTAGTAAAAGATAGGAGAAAAGTAGCACAGGCTAACTTAGGCAGGGGTGAGGGGGGGTACATCCTTCCTGATGGAAGCAATCAATGCCGCCCCTCGGGCCTCCACACCAGAAGGGGGAGGAGCGTGAGCGTGTTCTCAAAAAGGGGTAACTTAGAGGAAAGCAATAGTAAAAACAGTCATCAGAGAGAAAGGAAGGGTTCACACCCCAAGGTAGAGAGAGGAAGAGGGTTCAAGGTTCAGGGTTTTAGAGCCTAAGAACAGTACTTGTTTTACAATTTTAGGAACTAGGAAAAGGTAAATCACAGCAGCATTACAGCTGAGGGTTTAGGGTTTAAGGTTTATACAGAGACAGGCCAAACAGGGCTTAGGGCGTCAGAGATTTCAGAAGACTCATAGGCGATCCAGATTGCTCTAGCATAACACACCAACCAGACAACACCACAGCTGAGAGGAGCGGGACTGGGGTCAGACAGATTGGCAACAACCAGGCAGTTTAAATAGCATAGGCTAACTTAGGCAGGGGCGAGGGGTGGTACATCCTTCCCCAAGGAAGTAATCAATGCCGCCACTCGGGCCTCCCAGTCATAACGGGGAGGATCGTGCGTGAGTCTCCCATGTATTCCATATTGACTTGCCGGGGGAATAGGAACCGGACTGTCGTTCCCCAGAATGGTAGGAGCCAGAACCAAGAGGTTTTTTTTTTTAAAAAAAAAAAAAAAAAAAAAAAAACTTGACACATATTTCGATTACTTCTGAGTCCTGACGAAACAGTGAACACGAGACAATTGTACTGTATGTCTGATGTAACAATGTGAAATGAAATCATTTCGGTGTCGGAAGCATATCTGAGAATATGGTTGTCCACGACAAACATACATGTATTCCCCACTTCATTCTTGACCCCCCCCCCCCTCCCCAAAAAAAAGGTCGATAACATGCATGCAGCAGACATCAGAGCAGCAGGCAACAAACATGCAGAGCCCCCAACCCAGTACATATCAGATGACATACATTCAGCATACAGTAGGCAACATACATGCAGAGCCCGCAATCCCCAGACACCCCCCCAACCCCCAGACACCCCCCCAACCCCAGCACCCACCACCCAGACCAACCCCCCCACCCATTCCCCAAAACCAAAATTTTATTGCGGATTCCGGGTCCTCTCGCCGAGCGCAGAACGACCTCATTTTCAAAAAAAAAAAAAAAGAAACTTCCGGGTGGTTTTTTGGCCCGCCCGGTTTACCCGGGCGCCCCCCCCCGGGCCCAACCGGCCGGGTGGCGTCCTCACTCAGATAAATAATTGAAATAAATAAAAATCATATGAGCCCATTTTAAAGCTTCAAAAAAAGAAAAAGAAAAAAAAAGAACCCTGTCGGTTCTGGCTCCTTGTCCATTCTGGGGAGCATCAGTCCAGTTCCTTTTCCACCGGCAAGTCAATAAAACTTACAATCAATACACACTCCACACTTCTCCCCATTATGGTTGAGAGATCTGAGCGGGCGGCATTGATTACTTCCTTCTGTAACGATGTGCCTCCCCTCACCCCTGCCTAAGTTAGCCTGTTAACACCACTTTGAAACTTCCAGACTTACTACTCCGCTGTTGTTCTTGGCCAACTGTTCTAAAGCCCTAAACCCCACAACCCTCTGAATTACTCAGAATGCAAACTGCAGAGTAACACGATTCATGAGGTGGCTCAAACAGGACGCATAAGATTATGAGGAAGAGGCAGGACCCCAAGACTTGGGTTTCTGCATGGACTGCATGCTGTGTCCTGTCTATTCTGTCATGCTGGAGGCGACAGCAACAGTTGTTCTTGGCCAACTGTTCAAAAGCCCTAAACCCTACAACCCTCTGAATTACTCAGTATCCAAACTGCAGAGTAACACAATTCATCAAACTAGCCGATGAGGTAGCTCAGGACCCCTAGACTTGGGTTTCTTCATGGACTACATGCTGTGTCCTGTCTATTCTGTCGTGCTGGAGGCAACAGCAACAGCCTACTGGTGTTGGTTCCATCAGTTAAGTTGCATCTCGATCTTTTCCTACTCCATTTCACACACAGTTCCACGCTGAGGAGCCCTAGACTTGGGTTTCTTCATGGACTACATGCTGTGTTCTGTCTGTTCTGTCATGCTGGAGGCAACAGCAACAGCCTACAGGTGTTGGTTCGATCATGTAAGCTGCATCGCGGTCTTTTCCGACTCCATTTCACGCACAGTTCCTCGCTGATTTCGAGGAGATAAATCTTCATCTTCAAACTGGCCGGCCCCAGGTAAATTCAGAGTTATTTACTCATCTGAGTTGACTGGGATTCGAACTCAGTCTGTATTTCAACAGTTCATGGGTGTACCAACTGAGCTAGGCCCATCAGTTGACGAGATCAATGCTTTTTTTTTTTTTCAAATTAAAAATAAATACAGCACCTCAAGGTCCTCAAGGTTCTGGCTCCTTTTCCATTCCGAGGAGCATCAGTCCATGACAAGATCAGTGTTATTATCCATGAAGATCCCAAGTTCCCACGGAGAGAGAAATCAGACCCTGTCATCCCAATACCTTTCTCGGCCGCCTTTTCGCTAAGGAATATCAGGTGCAGTATCTGTTCAGTTTAATATCTGATCCGTGGTCCATCGGGCCAATAATATATAAAAGAAACGCTGTCATCCCGATGCAGGCAGATTGCCAGTGACGGTTGCTCACGTTCATCAGGCATGATGGGTACCATGACTGTGAAAACTGACGATCGTAAAGTCCACCAAGTACCATGAACTGCACTGAATGCTCGGCCGTCCCATCAAGAAGAATGCCGTCGTCAGTACTCATTACTGTCAGAAGGTTTTTCACTTGACTGAGGACACTTCCGTGACCTAGTACAGCCAGCATGTACGCAGGTACATCATCGACCCTGCAAGGTGGGTAGGTTTCCTTTCTGCATCATTGTTGATCGCAGCAACAGCAAAGGCTGGGAGTCAGGGCCAAAAAGATTCACCTGCCAAACTCAAACCTACAAGGGTTTGTATGCTACTCGCTTCAATATGCCAGTAGACAGCTACCGCTGGAGGAGCCAGAGTAGCTCAATTACAGAAATGTCCGTCACCGCAGTTCATGACAACAGCCTGGGAACCAACAAACATAATGACACTAGCATTCGCCATAATGAATTACATTACCTGGACTTAACGTCTGTGGCATGGAGACTTCTCTGACTGCTGCATGCATCAGAAATGAATTGAGATCACTCTTACACGCCCACAATGAAATGGATTGTCGTTGCAGCTGCGGATAGGATTATCGTAGCAAGAGATTGCGGCCTGCAGGTTGACAGCAAGGAAATTCAAAACAGAACTATCGAAATCAATTGCCTGAAGATGTAATATTGGCACAGAAGCACAGTGGGATCTCATGGACACAGGTGACCAGTGATGAACCAGCCATCAGGGGGCTCCATAGGGAGGCAAATGAAACAATGCAAGTGTTGTTTGAACCGGCTTGCCCTTTCTCCGAGAGGCCCTGTCCTGAGCATGCAACCTCCGCTGGACATGACAACGGATTGCCAAATAATCGCCTGTGGTAGGGGAACCATGCTTCACAGCTTAAGGGATTCATTTTCAGCTCCTGGAATTAGAAACGAAGTAGAAACTTCACCAGATCATCCTTGATGACGATAGAGGGAAAATTTTACCTGTGAAAGATTGTCTGTGAGTTGTAAGCTAACAGCGAAAGCAGACTCAAAAGATTGCCAGGATCGTATTTCCAGTGGTGGTTGTCGATGCATCCTGTTGTGACCCATCAACGTCCCTGCTGTACCTGCTTTCCATCGTCAGCCCTCACTGCTGCATATCATTCGGACTGTTGACGGCCGGTTGTGCATAACACATAAACCACCAGTTCCTCATAGGACTAGCCACACTGCTGGTGATGCACACTGCAGTTGGTTTGATATATTAGTAGCTGTGGAGGCATACAGAGGCCTCACCCAGACTGGCAGCTTAAGGTATTCCCCCCTTGGAGTACCGCTTGTGCATGCTTGGACCTCTCAGTACATCTTGTGCATCCTTGCCATTGTCGACACCCAGTTTGGCACGAAGCACAAGCTCCACAATACCTGTTTGCCTTCACAACTTGGCAGTAATATCAGTCTCGTAGAAAACAGTGAGTGCATGGATGATAGGCACAATCGAGGCTGTGTCCACCTCAAATTTTTAGTCATTTCCCTGACTACCAGAAAGGACCTGCATTTCCCCAGACTTGCAAAAATCGATGAGTCATTCCCCGTTGGGTTAAACTCAAATTAACTGTCGACAAACGATTGCTGACAACAATCACCCACACACCAAAAGTGAGCTCTAATTTTTCCTGCTGACTACATGGCCAAGTCATGGTGCTGCAAGTCAGTGCATTATGTGCATTCACAAAAGAATGACATCACATGGTTCATTAGACTGGCAGCAGCTGCATGCCGGCACCGCGTTCCAATTTCTCTTTCCCCTTTCGTCTTCTGTTCCTACCGCTTGCCTCCATGAAGCTGGGATCCTGCTGAACTTCAGCACATTGTTTTAGATATGAGTCATAAGACCAATGTCATTGAATGGTTCACATCCTTCCAAGCTTTAGTTGCCTTCTCACTGTTGAAGACCGCCGAGGCAGCAAAGACACTAGTTTCCCCCAACAAATCCATGGGATGCTGGGCCATTGGTGAGGGAGACAAGGGCCATGTTGTTATCAGATCCATATCGGCATGAACACCCGGGCTTCTTTTTGAGCCCTCGAGAGGAGCCCACCATCTCAGCCCCAGTGAGCACGCATCTCTGCATCCACATCCAGAAAGGATGATCCTATTCCTAATGATAGCACCAATACCGGCCTCCAAGTTGCTGGCAACTTAGCAATTGACCTCCTGCTCGAGGGGGTAGAAATTAACGAGTAGTAGTGGGGAAAGAGACGATGACAATGTGGAGGAAGCAGACAATGACATCAGTTAGTACAGTCAACTGATGACAAGAAGGAAAAGAAGAAGAAGAGGCCGGAGGCCCCTGACCACACCTGCAGCGGATGGGCTGATGAGCTGAGGTGAGAAAGGTGCCACATCAGGTACCAGGCATCAGGAACGAGAGCAAAGACATGGCTAAAGGACTTCTAAAGTGGGGACTAGGGGGAGGAGACTTCGCTCACACCCAGACGCAGCGAAGACTGTCTCAGGCAGGACAAGCAATCAGAAGGGCCTAAGGATACATAGAGAGACAGGAACCCATAAAAAAATTTGAAGGCAAAGGACCACAGGTTGAAGACGCAAGAGGTGGGGCAAGACTGAAATCTAAGGCCAGGATAGGGCAAACTGACGAGAGTATACCACATACCCGGGTTCAGGACGGAACAGACGTTATTCTGCATTAACGGAAGGATAGGTACCTTATAAGTTATGGATCTGGAAGTGAGAACACATAAGTGGCTATGGACCACAGTTTACAGGTCACTGTCAATGGAAGGCTAGTAGAGAAGGTACACCACTTGAACGAATAGGGGAGGGGCTAGGTTTAAAGGGGTTAGCCAGCCGGGAGCGACTCAAGAGTTTAGGGTTTAAGGGTTTTTAAAAAAGAATGCCAGGGATTGTACGAGGCTCATATGCGGGGTCTAGGGTTTAGACAGAATTGGTAGCAATTGTAGCTTCTCAGACCTTTCTTGCTTTTCATGTTGTATTTGACAGGTTCTTATAGTAGTCCTTAGAGGAAAGGTGGAAGCAGGGCAAGCTGACAGTCAATCCTCCACGATGTTGGAGAAATCAATGCTATCAGGGTTCCTTCGGCCAGACGGAAGGAAGCGTGAGGGTGTCTTATGATGTAATTATCTTTCCTAACTTGGCGGTGCAATAGGAACCGGACTGATGCTCCCCAGAATGGAAATGGAGCCAGGGCCATAAGGACCTGTTTAAAAAAAAAAAAAAGAAGAAGAAGAGGAAGGAGAAGCTAGGATAAGCTGATATGGAAGAAGTGGGCCACAGCCTCAGGAAAGATAGACAGGGCAGTCCTACAGATTCAGCCACAAGCTCTAGAAGGGCCGGGAGGTTTACACCTTCGGTGAGCAGTTCTTCACAAGCTCTACGCAGCTGGCTCCTGAACAATGAGAGCCAACAAGCAGCAGATCATACCAGTGGTGGAAGAACTGGAGTACTTCAGAAAGCAGGAGCCGGCCAATACCGGTTATCACCCAGGACAGCAGAAACCCACCACAGGTGAGGAGGAGCAAAGGAAAGAGACCCCAGTCCGTCTTCACTGAGGGATTTGACCAGGAGTACAAAAGAGGGTTTTTTGAGTAATCAAGGCAGTTATCTGCATAACAGTTTCAGAGGAAGGGACACAGGACCAGCAAGTCTGACAGTAAATCCTCCTCGAAGGAGCAATCAATTCTGATCAGGGCGCCCTTTGGCAAGAATGAAAGGAAGCCTGGGGGGTGAAATGAACCAGACTGACGCTCCCCAGAATAGAATGGATTTGTGGACCATAAGAAAGGAGGAGGGGTACGAGGAGGAGGAGGAGAAATAGAAGAAGACGGAGACGGAGACGGAGACGGAGACGGAGACGGAGACGGAGACGGAGATGACGAGACGACGACGACGATGACGACGACGACGACGACGACGAAGAAGAAGAAGAAGAAGAAGAAGAAGAAGAAGAAGAAGAAGAAGAAGAAGAAGAAGGAGGAGGAGGAGGAGGAGGAAGGATGAAGAACGAGGAGGAGGAGGAGGAGGAGGAGGAGGAGGAGGAAGAAGAAGAAGAAGAAGAAGAAGAAGAAGAAGAAGAAGAAGAAGAAGAAGAAGAAGAAGTCAAACGAACGAAGGACGTATGCAGACTGAAGAAAGAACGAAGAAAGGAGGAGAA